TTACCCAAGTCTGTTGAAAGACTCAACCGTCTACTCCTATTACCCCCATCCACTCCTATTATGTAACATCTCTCTCCTCATTCAATCCTTTTACTTTCTATTTCCTGATATTTAACTCTCTTCTTTTTCATCTCCTTGTCATTTTCCCTGCTAGATCTTGAGTCATTTCTTTAGATCTTTCATTTCACTAATTTTTTTTCTTTAGGTGTATTTGATAATCTTATCCACTGAGTTTTACATTTCAATGATAATTTTTAATTTCTAGAAGTTCCACTTGGTCCTTTTTCAAATATACTTGGCCATTTTGGGGATGTTATTTTGTCCCCAAGTATTTGGAAAGGTGGAAGGTCGGCAAAAGAGAGGAAGATCCTCAGTGAGATAGACTGACAAAGTGACCGCTGCAGTGGGTTTAAGCAATGGTTTAGGACAAGGCTCAGATTTTTTGTTCATAAGGTCATTGTGAGTTGGACTCTACTCAGTGGCACCTAACAACAACGACCACATTTTGTCTCAGACTTACGGTTTCAGGTCCACCTTTGATTCCTTTACATATTTTAAAAAACACGTATTGATATTCTATAGTTTATGATTCTAGTAGATCAGAGAAACAAATTCTGTTATTTGCCGTTAGTGGTGCCTGCAGTTCACAGTGGCTTGTTTTAGATCATAAATTCATATAGACTTATTCCCAAGTAGGAAGATACATTCCTCCAGGGATTTTATTTTTACTTTATTAAGGTTTCCTGAGGCACTAATACTTTGAGACAATGTTTAAAATTTCCAGGAACAGAAAAGTAGTTTGTACTCAAATCCTAAATTTGTGTTTTTTAAAAACAAACAAACAAATCAATTTTAAGTTTTTCTATGAAACCTTTCTTCTTCACCAGAACTATTGTTTCATTTTGCTGGTAGATGGATTCCCCCCCTCCAGATAATTTCGCAATTTGTTGATGATAAAGCCCTTTGAGAATTCTAGATTTATATTGGGTTGGAGAGGGAAAAGATGCAAGTTAAAGATCCAACTTCTAATCAGTACTGTGTAGACTCAGGTACTGTTTTCTATCCCTTGCCACCCACTGCCATCAAGTCAAATTAAACTCATAGCAAACCTTCCATTAGGTTGCCAAGGCTATAAATCTTCATATATATATATATATAACCTGTTTTCTTACAAAGCTCATATACATTGTTTTTGACACCAGCTCTTTCCCAGTTACTTAACCCACCCCTCCCTCCACCCATCAAATTGTGAGACCCTATGATTAAACATTACCCCACCCACCCTCACCTTTCCCTCTGCCCCCTTAGATCTTCATACACATTTTATTAGTTATCTGTTTCTACAAGAATGCTCTTATATAGTATTTGTCCTTATAGGACTGCTCATCTTTCTCTAGCAAAGGGATTCAAACTGTCGCCCTTCTGGTGAGCAGCCCGATAAGTTATCATCAATATCACTGCCATTAGGGCTCTTTGGGTTTCCAGGGTTTCTGGAATTTGTAAATACCCTCAAATTTGCTAAAACTTCTTCATCTAGTTTACCATCTAGTTTCAGTTCCTTCATTCTTAGTTCCAGGGGATTTCTGCTGCTTTCAGAAATGCATTTTAAAAAGTTTGCTGAAACTTATTCTGCATTTAACTTTTTTAAAAAATGGATAACAGTAGAAACAACTCTCTCATAGTATCCAAAGGAGCCTTTTCAAAATTCAAGTCCAGTTGGTTCACTTCTGGACTTCAAATGCTTCAGTCCATTCCTCACTGACCCTCCATCAGGTTTCTGAGGCTGTAAATAGGCATGAGAAGAGACGGTCCATACTACTCCCAAGGGGCTTCTGGTGGATTTGAACTGCAAGAGATGTGCAACCTTTGGGTAAGCAGCACAACACCCATTACACAGGATAAAGACCAAGTTCCTTCCCATGACTTTCAAAGCCCACCCAAAGCAGCCTCTGAGCCCTCTCCACCAAGGCCCAGATAGTGCCGAGTTCTCTTTTCCATGGGGCTTCGGCTGGTGATAGGCACCTAGCAGGTGGCACAATTCAGCTCTGTTGTATTAATTAGAGAATTATTTCCTCAACAAGGGGGCATTGGGTATTTAACAAGCATTCTCTTCTCCTGCCCACTCCTGTGGTGTGGCATTATTATCCTCACCACAGATGAGCAGTCATTATAAATTGTACTCGACTTGAGGGCATCCAGAAACAACAACAGATGAAGGCACAGGGGGGAGGTGATTCGACCAAGGTCACACTCTCACACTTGAACTTTCACTCAAGTTTCTGCCTGAGCCAGCATCTACCAGCCCAGCCCAAGGAGTCTTCAACACTGGTGTCGCTTGGGCTGGTGGACTCCTCATGGACCTCTCTTCCTGTTCCAGATCACACAGAATCCTTTAAAAAAACACTCTAATTGCCACTGTGTCAGAACTGACACATAGTTGATTCTCCACTGGGATTTTGAGGTTGTAAATCACATGGAAGGAGATGTTCATTTTTCTCTCATAGAGCAGCTGGTGGATTTGAACTACCAGAGGTGTGGCCTTTGGATGAGCAGAGCAACTACCAGAGCTCTCCTCGTTATTGTATATAATTGAGTTGGAACTGACACATAGCTGAGCCTCCAGCAGGTTTTCAGAGGCAGCTGCCTGTGGAGTAACTGATAGATTCGAACTGCGCGCCTTTGGGTTGGCAGTGCAACTCCTTACCACCAAGCCACCAGAGCTCTCCTTAGTAATATATATTATCAGTTTTAATCATAGAACGTTGTTGTTGTTGCTAGGTACCATAAAGTACAGCTCACGTGACCCTATGAAAACAGGACCTGAATTCTGTCCTATCTGTACCATCCTCATCATCTCTGACACACTTGAGCCCACTGCTGCAGTCACCATGTCAATCAGTCTCATTGGGAGTCCTCTCTTCTGCTGACCTTCCACCTTTCTAAGCACTATGCTCCTTTCCAAAGACTTATTAGTTGTTGTTAGGTACTGTTGAGTAGAGTACAACTCAAAACGACCCTATGAACAAAAGATCTGAACCCTGTTCTATCCTGCGTCATCCTCACACTTCCCAACACAAAAGCCCATTGAGGTGAAGCCTCATCATTCTTGCCTCCAAAGAGCACTCTGGCTGCCCCCTCTCCAAGACATATCTGCTTGTTCTCTTGGCCGTCTGTGGGATGTTCAGTGCTCTTCTCCAACACCATAGATAAAGGCGTCAACTCTTCTTCTGTCATCCTTATTCACTGTCCAGCTCTCAGAGGCATAGCAGGTGATTGGAAAGACTACGGCCTGAATCAGACC